AATAAGTTGGTATCTGTTAAGACATTTTTCTAAGAGTGCTGATTCTACTCTAAAACCTAAGTTTATGTTTAGAAATCTCATGTCCCAGACCCCTGTATATTATATAAAGAATAGTTACAAATGCACCTGAGATACTAAGATCATAGACATGATGTTCAATTTTTAATTGAAAATATTCCATTGTTAGGCTATGTTTAAGTCTTGGAAAATATACCCAACTAGTTACAGACTAAGCAAAGAAAGGTAATGGTATGCATTTCAATAATCTTAACCTAGACAGACTAAGTATCAGATCTCCCATAGGGACAAGCTTCTACAATATGAATCTAGGCAGTACAGTGGTACTAGGGCACAGGCAATTTTAAAACAATCAACTCAACTAAAGATAAAGAATGTTTCTATAAATTAGTCATTGCTTCATAAAGTATCTATGTTTTCCATTGCTTAAAATAGCAACTGCATAGTATTAAAAGTGTAATAAGAGTGAATCTGGCCCCTTATATTGAATTTAAAAAGTTGTTTGATCCCAAGTGTATTGAGTTGCATATCGTTTACCTGGCAAATTTCATGTTTCAGTTCTTGAATATCATTTCACTTGTGTCAAGATAAGATGACAGTGCTATATATGCCAGCAGTCATTCAAGACTGCAGTTCTAAGACTCAATAACTTGCCATCGGAGGTATTTGTTTAATCTTCCAATCCAAGCACTTGGTAGGTGTGATTTATTGAGGAGATTAAATACCTTGCTTGTCTCATTGTAATAAAGAAAGACAGACCTAATCTTTGCTCACAGACTTTTTCCACCATAACCAAGCAAATTATAGATCTCTCTTTCCCCACTAAATGGAATTTGTTTGAGGCCTGAGTAAAACAAAGATATAAATGCAAGATTTGGAACATGATTGTTCTGTGATGTTTTGATAAGCAACATCAGTTCTTTACAGAATAAACATTAAATCTCCATGGGGCAACATCTTGCTTTGCAGGGACTAGTTCCAAGAGCCTAATTAAGAGAACTGGTCAGTCAGAGTTTGGGTTTCTTTGGTCCACCCAAGTCCAAATGATACTTTCTAACTTCTCAATTACCTTTTGTATTTTGGTATATGCTAGTTTCATAAATATATTATTTCCTCTATAAAAAGGTTTAGAATACACTTATTATATTTATCTCTCCTACTTTTTTTTTTTTTGAGATGGAATCTCACTCTGTCACCCAGACTGGAGTGCACTGGCCGCACCCGGCCACCACAGCCTCGATCTGCTGGGCTCCGGAGATCCTTCCGCCTCAGTCTTCCAAGTAGCTGGAACTACAGGCATGCACTACCATGCCTGGCTCATTTTTGATTTATTGTAGAGATGAGGTCTCGCCAAGTTGCCCAGGCAGGTCTCGAATCCGTGGGCTCAGGCAATCCACTCACCTCAGCCTCCCAAAGGTGCGGGATTACAGGCTGAGCCACTGAGCCTGGGTCTCTCTCCTACTTTTAAATTGGATATAACAAAATGAAGCTTATGTAACATCTAAAGCACTTTGATTTTTATAGATTTGATTCATTCAAATTATAGTGGATCTTTTAATCTTAACATTAAAAAAAGGCATTATTCTTAAAACATAAAGAAAACATGAAGGAAAAATGGATAGAACTCAACTAGGATGCAAAGGGATGCTGAGGGAAATTTTTTTTTTTTTTTTTTTTTTTCGAGTTGGAGTCTCACTCGGTCGCCCAGACTGCAGCACAGTGGCCACTCCCGGCCACCGCAACCTCGACCTGCTGGGCTCCAGCGATCCTTCCGCCTCAGCCTTCCGAGTAGCCGGAATTACAGGCATGTGCTACCACGCCCGGCTGATTTTTTTTTTTATTTATTGTAGAGATGAGATCTCGCCGCCCAGGTGGGTCTTGAAGCCGCGAGCTCAGGCAATTCACTCACCCGAAAATTTTAATTAAAAAAAGAAAACTTAGACCAGGAGTGGTGGCTTACACTTATAATCCCAGCACTTTGGGAGGCTGAGGCAGGAGGATTGCTTGGGAGGCTGAGGCAGGAGGATTGCTTGAGCCCAAGAGTTTCAAGAGTAGTCTAAGCAACAGGAAGGAAGGAAAGAAGGAAGGGAGGGAGGGAGGGAGGGAGGGAGGAAGGAAGCTCCTAACTATAATTGACTCAAAAATGAAGAAATTACTAGCTTAAAAAATATGTGAGGCAGAGAAGAAAACTGACTCAACATGAAAGAGCTGAAAGATACTGAAGCAGGAAGTTTATTGTTGCTCAGACAATCCCCTGGTTGAAGATTGGCAGGAGGCAATGAAGGAGGCAGCAGGGGTAACAGAAAGTGAACTTTACATCTATAGTCTTGAAGAGGTGACAAAAATAAGAGTATCAACTTTACCCAAAATTAAACTACCATACTAAAGATTCAAAAATATTTTAGCTACATTTCTAATTATGCCACTAAATTTAATTATTATAGATCTTGGTTTTTAAAACACATATCCAGTTTACAAAATGTTTAATTTGGACATATCTTTGTCCATTTGCTAAACAAAAATTTTCCAAAAGAAAAAAAATTCCTGCCAGGCTCAGTTGCTCAGCCTGGCTGAGGTGAGTGGATTGCCTAAGCCCATGGGTTCGAGACCCGCCTGGGCAACTTGGCGAGACCTCATCTCTACAATAAATCAGGAATTAGCCAGGCGTGGTAGCACGCGCCTGTAGTTCCAGCTACTTGGAAGGCTGAGGCAGAAGGATCGCCGGAGCTCAGCAGATCGAGGCTGTGGTGGCCAGGAGTGGCTACTGCACTCCAGTCTGGGCAACAGAGTGAGACTCCAACTCAAAAAAAAAAAAAAAACCAAAGAAAAAAATTCCTAAATAAAAAAGGATGCAGGAACAAAAAAATTAGAAACTATACTTTGGAGAGATAATTGTTATATTTTTGGTTATTACACAGATATGTAATTTGTAGTTTTATAATTGCAAAATAATGAATTGAATTATTTATTGATCTCAAAACTGTAAACGTCTATTTTCAATCTGTATTTCCTTTTTAACATTTCATTCTGTAACTTCTAAGTATCAATTCAATTGTGTAGATTAAAGATTTTGCTTGTCTCATTGGAAAGTTATTCTGGCAATTTAATAAAATAAATTAAAACTACTGAACTAAAGCTGATACAGGTTTAGCGTACCTTTTCCAAAATGCTTGGGAATGTTTCAGATTTCAGATTTTTTCAGATTTTGGACTATTTGCATTAAATTCTACATTTCCTTTAAGCGTTTGGGTCTGCTCAAAAGTTCTGGAGTTGGGAGCATTTCAGATTTCAGATTTTCAGATTTGGCATGCTTAACCTGTATAACTTAGATCAGCACCTCAGACTTTTCATAATCTTAAAATTACTGAAGACCTCCAAAGAGCTTTTTTGCAGGTTATAGCTATCAAATTCACTGTATTATAAGTCAAAACCAGAAACTTTTAAAACATTAAGTAGTTCAAAAATAACAATAAACCCAATACATGTTAACATAAATAAAATATTTTTAGGAAAAATAACTTTTTTTCTAAACAAAAATGTAGTGAGAAACGCTTTTAATATTTTTGTTCAAATCTCTTTAATGTCTGGCTTAATATAAGTGAATCAGATATCTGCTTATGTATTCCATCTGTTACAATGTGCTGTTTTGGTTGAAGTATATGAAGAAAATCTAGCCTCATAGAGATACAGAATTGGAAAGGGGAGTCATTTAAAAGGCTTTCAGATAAGTATAGATACTCTTCTTTGTTGTAGATCAAAACTCAGTAAATGACAATTTCTTAAAATCTAGTTGGAATTCATATTGTATTACATTAAATCCATTTACCTATCTTGCACTTTAAGTTGATCATTTTATACATACATGATTTTGTAATTCCATAAATTGGTCATTTGAAAATAAAAGTTACACAGGTATATGAAATGTTAGCACATTTCATGAAACAACTAAAACATACATTTGTTAATATCAACATCAATGCTATCAGAAAAGCCTTTATATATTAGGAATCTGCTAAGTTTAAGTTTTCCAAAATTCTAGTTTTTACTTAAAAGTTTTAGTTTTACCACTGGCATCCAATACTGTCAGCTGTTTCCTCGAAATAACAGGCTCACTTCTTTCATTTTTTTTAAGAAAATATCTGCCAAATGTATAAGTCTAAAGGATTATAGTTTATAAGTTTTTCTTTCCAGTAAAAAATAGTGTTACATATAAAGTATCTAGCTCAGCTCATAATTCAAACAATTGTACAAGTGCCTTTCTTGACATATTTCAATATGCTACAGAAATGCTTTCTCCATACTTCCCTTTTTGTCACTCAGAATATTAAAAAGACAGGTACTGGAAGGATGAGTTTAATAAAATTAATGTTTATTTTACCATCATGGTCATTCTTAAGTGAAACTGGATTTTTTTTTTAATACTGGGTACATAGTGGGGAAGAACTCAATAACTTCTAGTATGGTTTGATGCCACTCCCTTAATTGAGGCTAAGTCCTAGTAATTTAACCTACCACTGCTTCAGTATAAGCAGTGTAAATGTCAACACAGTGAGAAGAAAAATAACATGTTGGTAGTACATCAAAATAGTTTCAACATTATGGACCCCTTCAAGAAAGAGATCCCCAGCGTTCTGCAGGACATTGTTTGAGATCTACTGGCTTAGATAACTCAAAAAATGTAGAAACATCACAGAACAGGGAGTATTTTTTTGTGCTTCTTAAAAAGGAAATTCATAGTGAGCAGCTTCATACCTTTTTGCTATTCAAACTGCAACAGTGAAAACTCAAGAACATTCTAAACTAGCTACATATACAATGAAGAAACAAATGGAAACAAACCTTTGAAAGACATTAAATTTGGCCAGGTGTTTATCCCAACAGAGAAAAAAAATATTTTACATAGCAAATAGCTCAAATATTTTCTATTTGGGTTAAACTTCTTAGGATTAGATTACATACACTGTATATTACCAATGTCTTACCTTAGCTCTAGAAGAACTGACATTTTCCATATTTTCAATGCTGCAGATGCAATTCTGTGAAACTTTCCGGCAAGCCACTCTGATATAGTCCCAGAAGCTTCGAGGACTTTCATAACCAAACCAGGTAACTTGACCTTAAGGAGACAAATTGCAGTACAAAATTTTAGAAAGTAAAAAAAACTAGACCCCAAAATTCAAAATTCAAGAATAATATTCTGAAAAATAAAAGTAACACAGTATGTTGCAATGGAAAGGGCACAGATCTAGGTGTCAAAAAGTCTTCAATCTATTCCTATTCTATCTTTAACTGGTAGTATTACTTTGAAAATTTATTTAATGAATCTGGACCACAGTTTTCTCAACAATAAAATCTCAACAATAAAATAAAAAGGGACTAAACACTCAAAATATCTTGCTACTTAGTATTCTATTATCTAATACAGTCTTTTATATAGTACACAGAAAACCTTTCTTGTGGTCCCAGTTGTGCATTAATTTAAATGTCACCAGTTGAATTCTAAATTTTTCTCTACTTAAAAAAAAAACAAAAAAAACAACGCAACTCTTGTCTTCCTCTTCATAGGGATACTTCAAAAAAAGAAACAACGGGTGGTTTATCCTGTAAGTTTCAGCATCTTATATTCACTGATAATTCATAAACTTCTACCCATTCATCATCTATAAATCTCTCCTTTAACTATCATTTGTTTGCTTTCATGTCACCAACTCATGAAAAACTCTTCTGGTATTAATCATGCTAATCTTTCAGATTTGGGTAGCTATGTATCTGTTCTTGACCAAATGTTCTACTGTGTATAGCTTACATAGTATTAATATTTCTATGCAAGGCTGTATGTATTAGGTCCATAGGAACTATTTTGTACACTCATTATTTTAAAATGGGGTACAAAACACATTTTAATACTTTCTTTAGTTGTCTAGAATGATCATTCTTGCCTGGGAAAGTTGTTTAATTTTAATGTAGAAAGATTTGCTTTTATGCTTTGAAATAAGTACTTTTTCATCTTGAATTATTTATCTCAATTCATTCCTTCCCCAGTGATAACTTCTTTCTAGCAACATCAAAAAAATGTTCTTAGAAGCAAGTATCATTTTAGGAACCACGTGTGAGAGGATATTTGAGTGATTCCCAACCATGGCAGCACATTAGAATAACTGGACTACTTTTTAAAAATACTCATATCTGGCCTCCTCCCAACTAAATGATCAAAATCTTTAGGAGAAGATCATTAGTATTTCTTTCAAAGGCCCCACTCCCCATATTTCTAATGATGCGCTTATTATTAATTAAGCAATAGAAATTCTTTTTTAAAAAATCATTGCTCATGTATTAACATTAAAAGAACATTGCAGGTTATCTTTAATCATGCATTTGACTAGAGAACTCATACTCATCACTCAGGATGTTTTAAAGTACTCCTCTTCCAGCCATGCATGATTTCTACAGTTAGTTCCACTGTCAGCACAGCATTGTATGCTTACTCAACCTCATAATTACTTTTTTACTTTTGTTACATATATTAGGTGGTAAGATCACTAAGGCAAGGATGGTGCCTTATTTGTATTTAGACCAATCTCAAGCACTTGACCCAGTGCTTGCCTCACAGTAAGCACTAAACAAACATTTGCTGAAAAAAACAAATTGGTAAATCAGCACAAAACAGATCCTCTTAACTGCAATGAACACATAAATCTAAATTTTAAAAAATTCAGTAAATACATTTTCATAGTAACAGTTTTGATGGGCTGGGTGTGGTGACTCAAGCCTGTAATCCCAGCACTTTGGGGGGCCAAGGCGAGAGGATTACCTGAGCCCACAGGTTTGAGACCAGCCTGGGCAACATGATGAGACTTCACCTCTACAATAAATAAAAAAAATTAGCCGGGCATGGTAGTGCATGCCTGTAGTTCCGGCTACTTGGAAAGCTGAGGTGGAAGGATCGCTGGAGCCCAGCAAGTCGACCAAAAAAAAAAAAACACACACACAACAGTTTGATGAAAGCCTGGTATTAAGGCATTTGCATGCTAGATTACAAATACAAAATATTCTGGACAAATATATTTATATTTGTATATACATAAATAAAAACATATAGAAATCTATAAATCCTTATTCAAATAACTATAAAAATCAATGTCTCTTTAAAAATCAAATCTTACTATCTACTAATGGAAATCTATAGGGATATTTACAATCTTCCTTTTTCCTCTTAATCTCTTTTCATCCTTTTCCCTTGCCCATTCTTTTCTTTGAATTTAAAAGTTCCTGGTATAATACCTCAGTATTAGACTTTGAGTCAGGTTGACCTGAGCTAAATCACTTTCTAGCTATGTGATCTTGAACAAATGATTTATGTTCTACTCTTTAAGTCTAAACTACTTCTGTAAAATTAAAAATAATGGTAGTACAGACCTGATAGCAGCACCTCAATGAGGATTAGATGAGATCATGTATGTGTAGTAAAGAGCAAAAAGTCTAATATACATGAAGTACTAGATAAATGTTAATTACTTCTACTGTTATTACTATTATCATACAAATAGTTAAGGGAACCAAGCTCTTCTTGTACCACAAAACAAACTAGGAATGAAATGCAAAGTATTCAATTGTTTATTTGAGATATTATTATTTGAACATCACTTTTACATAAACACAAACTGCTAGTTAAAGTCAGTAACCAGTATTCAACTGAAAAATTAGAAAACAAACTTACAAGCTGTTCATGCCTCGAAAAATAAATATTGAAGTAGTAAATACACACTTCCAAGTTATTTTTATTCACTTTAAAAATCAAGAAACTGACTAGTCTATGTCTTGGAGAAATTTTATTCTAAAGAAGATATCTGTTTGCAATGAGAATTCTCTTTTTAAACTCCTTAGTGAGTATAGGTGTATAGCATGCTTTCAATTATAAGTGTTCTTGGAAGGCGACTTCTTACCAATAAGAAGTTAAATGAGCTTTTCAAAACATTTTTCCATTCCATCAATCTAACTCTAATTCATTTTAGGCACAGAAATAAGTGGTGAAAAGTTTGCTAGACTAAAAGATGATCTACTACTGACCATGTATGTGATATCTTTCCCATTAAATTGCCTCATCTTCAGCATCTAAAAATGACCTGTGATCTCTAGGGTCCAATATTATTCTAAAATTATTCTATGTTATTAAAGTGAGATGTCTAACATTTTGCAATATGTCTGTGTATTCCTTATATCTTATTTTATAGCTAGATTGAAACCTAAGAACAAAAATTAAATTTTCTAAAGAGGTTATTAAGCAGTGGTTAATGACACTTGCATAATGTAATATAATATAATGTCAATAATATAAAATATAAATGAATCTTTCAAGTGACTTCCTTTCTCCACCCTTTGCAATAGTGCTTAGATATATAAATAGTAAAGGGAAAACTGGTTTCACAAACTGAAGTTCTGTTTGTGTTAAAATACATCACCTTCTAACAATGTTAAAGACTACTACCTTGGAGGTGCTATTCATCTAGACAAACAACAACGACAATGTAGTCCCACCAATTTTAAAAAGTCACTCTGATATCACTGCAAATGTTTTTAGATACTTAAAGGAAATTACTTATTATTATTTTGCCACAAGTCTATATTAACATTTAGACACTTAACTTTTCACTTTAAATTTTATAGCAGCAATCATAAGTTTCTTACTGCAATTTATAAAAGCTGGTTTAATGTTTTCTACTATCTTTTTTTTTTTTTAAAGAGAAACTTCCCGTTTCTGTAAGAGATCAGAAATTTTTCCTTTAAAAAAAAGGTCCTATTATTAGTTGAGGTTTACATTTAATAGACCACTCAGCTTTAAAGGTAAAATTATGACACAGATTCACTTTCTTAATTAAATCTCATATTAATGTTCTAAAAAAAAAGAGCACATTTAAACACTTAAAAATAATTTCACTTAAACTTTAAGCCAATCTGATTAAGTCAGAATTTAGATTAGATACTCAAATGTACTTACATTGCTAGTGCTATGTTAGTTATATTAGGATGCCTTTAGGAAATCATCTAGCCACTATGAATCATAGTTATTCACCTATAAAATGTAATTATTATCACTTGTTTCTGACAATTTAATGTCTAGTTCACTGGTAAGGAATTTATCAAAAACATATACAAATATATACAGTATCTTCACCATAAAAGTTAGTTAATTCTTAATTTCTCAAAACCATAAGAATAAGATAATCAGGTTTACCAAAAATCTAAAATTTGTATCAACTTAATTGACTTTTTTATCCCAGTAATTTTATTATCCAAATAGAGTGCAGCAAAGTTTGTTTTTTTTTTTCTTTTCTTCCTTCCATCAAGACTTTTTTTTCCCCCTTCCACCAATATTGGTAGACTGAATTAATATACTGAAGGTTGAAGTTCATACAGAGAGCTACACATAATGTATATCCCTGAAGAAATCAAGTGTAATCTGTTTCAGTAGTGATTAAAGCTATATGCATAGAATGTAAAACAAAATAAATTGTCCCTGAAGAAATCAAGTATAATCTGTTTCAGTAGTGATTAAAGCTATATGCATAGAATGTAAAACAAAATAAATTGTTTAAAACAATTACTTGTGGGTATCAGGATTAAGGAAATAAGAAGACATCTGTTTTCTACTTTTTATGCTTTGTCCTACTATAATCTTTAAAAATAATGACTAGGTATTTTCTAATTAAAAAAAATTTTTTAAAGTTTAAATCATAAGCACAGAAGTCCAGCAGTATTTTGCATATAGCAGGAACTTAACAATAAAAACTCTTGCCAGGTTCAGTGGCTCATACCTATAATCCCAGCACTTTGAGAGGCCAAGGCTGGAGAATTGTTTGAGCCAAGGAGTTTGAGACAAGCCTGGGAAACATAGCAAGGCCTTGTCTCTACGAAAAATAAAAAAAAAAATTAGCTGGGCTAGTGCACACTCCTGCAGGCTCAGCTACTTGGGAGGCTGAGGCAGAAGGAGCGTCTGAGCCTAGGAGGTCAAGGTTGCAGGGAGCCATGATCATTCCACTGTATGCCAGCCTGGGAGACAGAGTGAAAACCCAACACACACGCACACAAAAAAGAGTTTTGAATAAGTAAACATATGCATTCTACCCAGGAGAAAGAATATTAAGTAATATAGTATCACTAATGGTTCAAGAATGACAAAGCAGTTATTGTTGATAGTGCCCATCTATGGTTTACTGAGAGCAGAATATTCATACTGCTTCCCTGGGCTCCTAGCTATTAATATAGCACTTACAAAATTGAGAAAATAGTAAATAAATCTTATATTATTGAGAGTTATAAGAAAAATATAAATAATACTGATATGCATGATTAATAATATAGTGATTAAAGCCATGGAACCCAATAGAAATATGCAGGAGTCAGATGGGAGAGGAAGAAGAGTAAATGGGCTGTTAAATTATGTGGCTTCACAAGATTTTAATTTTAAAAATTAGCATAAGCATACCTGTGCCCTCTGGATTTAAAAAAACAAAAACAAAAACAAAAAACTGAAAGCTTTGCAAAACCCATGCAATGTACTAAAAAAAAGATCACTTAACTGATACAGCCCTCCCCAGTAAGTCAATTCCATGCTCCCGTGCAGCTCAGTGGCGGGAGACATCACCAGCATAGAGTACCTTGAAGAGGTATTTGGAGATAAGCCAGCCATCTGCAACTTTGGGAAATCTCTTTAAAAAAATAAACAACAACAACACACAGATATTTAAGAAACCTACCATCAAGTTTACAATTCCAAACTGAATAGCCCAAACAAGATGACTACACATAATCTTGAAGTAGTCAGTAAACACCACTTTTACCTAATAAATAAAAAGAACTCAATTAAAGTAAGCATGAGCTACACTTAGCAAGTAAATCAAGTTCTTCTCTTCTAGCCTGTTCTATTAGAGGAAGCTAGGATGTCATAAAAATAAGTGAACAGCAATTGTCCCCTGTTTACTTTTACCTCCATCATTCTCTTTCAAATGTGATAAACTGGTGAGGACAGTAGACATCAAAATAAGCAAAATTTAAGTATCACTAAATATGATAACTTTGCATCTCAAAATGTGTAAGATTGGTTAGGGAAAAATGGACTCTTGAATTATATGGCTAAGACAGCTTTCAACCTTAAAAATAAGCACACACTTTTTTTAGTGTTTTTTTTTTTTTTTTGAGTTGGAATCACTCCATCGCCCAGACTGGAGTACAGTGGCCGCTCCCGGCCACTGCAGCCTTGACCTGCTGGGCTCCAGCGATCCTTCCGCCTCAGCCTTCCGAGTAGCTGGAACTACAGGCGCATGCTACCACACCCAGCTAATTTTTTGATTTATTGTAGAGATGAGGTCTCACCAAGTTGCCTAAGTGGGTCTCGAACCTGTGGGCTCAGGCAATCCACTCACCTTAGTCTTCCAAGGCGCAGATTACAGGCTGAGCCACCAAGCCCAGCTTTTTTTTTAGTGTTAACTTTCCTAAAAGTTATAAACAAATAAATTTTGAAAAAATAGCTATTTTTTTTTTTGCCTAAGACATGTCAAAGTTTTCATGTTTTTTTTTTTTTTCCTGAATGATGAGAACAGCACTTTGATGTCAAGAAAAATGTTGGTCCCTTCAACCAATGTTGACAAAATGCCAACTCTATAGAAAACACTGTTTTATTTGCTACAGCTACCAATTATTGTTTAACAATCACCATCTGGAAAAATACTATAAATTCTTGCTATGTTGTTTGGAAATTGCTAATATAATTATATGAGAAAACTCCAAAGCCAAATTTCTGAAACCACATTATTAACAAATAATATTTCCTCTCTCACTAGCAAATACTGAAACCTCCAATAGCACCTGGTCCCACAACTTTCCGAATACTTAGAACCTTTATAAAAACCAAATAAAACAACAAACACAGCATCAGTAATGTGTCAAAAAAATGAGAGGAAAGAGATACATTTAATAGTTGTGCCACATCTTTATCTCCACCATTCACTTTCTATCCTCATTTCTCCAAAACATTTTAAACAAATACTGCATTTAGAAATATATATCCAAAAGGATCTATAATTTTGTACCCCAGTTAAAGCCCATATTAAAGCATAATGTTCTTGATACAACTACAACAAAAATGGAAATTTCTCAACACTTGAAATGTAAATCAGAATAGAATGCTTTTCACTGCAAATATTATCAATTCTTATTAGGCCATATTTACTATCTCTGTCCTGAATCATAGTTCTCTATATTATTTGTGATTTACAGATCCAAAACCTTATCAAAGTAAAAATAATTTCCATGAAAAACTTAAGGAAATTTTACTTCAAAACATATACCAAATAAGCTATATTATGATCAGATTTACATTATTTCTTTTTCTTTTTTTTTTTTTTTTTTTTTTTG